CGTACAAACTTGCCAGGGTTCTCCCCACGTACAAACTTGCCAGGGTTCTCCCCACGTACATGTGTACAAACTTGCATATCAGGCCCGATACACAATTATTTCTGCCTGATATGCAAGAAACGGTCCGATACCCATTTTGCATCCCCGATACGCACAATATAATTATGATAGTATGCAGTGTTGTAGTACTCGTACTCGGTACTCGTACTGGAGTACTGCTCGAGTACCGTTTTCAGAGTACTCGTACTTGTACTCAGATGTCCAAGTACTTGTACTCGAACTATAGTTCTTGTACTCGGGCTACAAAATACTCGAAACTCGACATCCAAAAATTGTACTCGAGCATCAAAATACTCGTACTTGATTAACAGTACTCGATAAAAAAATCCTTTAAGTTAACTTACCACGCACGGCCGTTAAAATAAGGTACAAAAATATCGACTCCTATGACCCGATATTCGATACGGTTCTGACAACGAGAAGGCCGAATGTGGGACCATTAAAGGCATACAACTCATTCGCCGTCTGTGCATGTACTTAACCAATAACGTACGCAAATTATATTGTGGTACTCCAGAATGGTTCCGCGATTTATTGGGCATTGGTAGTCTGGTTCCTGGACCTGAAAATTTTAACAACGAACCCAGCATACAGAAAATCACAGGCATGTGAATAATTGTGTCTGGAAAATAGACTTCGCCGCGCCGTGCACGTTGTGTCAACTGCTGCAACGCACGTGTAGTGACCATGACATTGCTTGCCAGATCACTTGTTCTTGTAGCCATGCCATCTGCATTCGGTGTTTCTTTTACACAGTGGCAGGTCTTAAGAGTCTTTAATTGAGATAAAACTACTTTTGAATTAGAAGTACTTGTACTCGTACTCGAAATTAGAAGTACTTGTACTCGTACTCGGAAGTGCAAGTACTTGTACTCGGAAACCAGTACTTGTACTTGGCTGGCAAAGTACTCGCCTTGTCTTTGTACTCGGGAGTCAAAGTGCTCGGCAGTACTTGGTACTTGGAAAAAAGTACTCAACTACAACACTGATAGTATGGCTCAGAATTATCTAGTGGCTGGTGTCGCATGAGATCTGAACTTCCGTCGTGGGTGTCGTACATGCATCCGCGCGCATGTGTGTTTTTTCTGTGCCGTGTGCTCAATACGCATTTACAAAGGTTAAAATTTTATACTACACCATTCGCAGAACTTACAACATCAATCCCACACACATTTTTGTTCATGGGGGTAGCCGTAGCCCTGTGTAACAGTGTTAATGGCATCTACGACGGGGACGATATTTCTCAATGCCATTTCACTGCATTTTGTCTCACGCGCAATGGCAGAAACTCAATCAAAGATAGGCTCTTTTTTTAAGCCAAAAACATCAGCAGTCCACGCTGAGGGAAACCCAAAGGCAGATGAAGCAGCCACCTGTAGCACGTGCACAGAAGGCGCCAGCAAAGGAAGGTCTGATCAGCAAAAACCAAAGGTTGAAGCATGTATTAAAATTTAAACTGAATAAACAGGTGTTTAAATCGTTGGTTAATACAGCCACTATATGTTGTTGCATGTCTGAAACTTGAAATGATTCCTTTTGTGCTTATAATTAGTAGTCCAGAAAGGAAAACTCGTCATTTGTTAAAATATTGATATCCAATTTGAAAAAAAAATTGAATTAAACCTCTGACATGTATGTTTTTCCTGAGAAAAGGTACTTTAAAAGCCCAGGAAATGCTCTAAAATGCAGCTGAGAGCATCTAAAGTCCAAAAGGTTTGGGCAGGCCCCAAACCCCACGCTATGACTTTGTAAAAATGTTGGTAAACCACAATGGAAATTCCCCATAGTTTTCAAAAATCCTGGGGAGAACCCTGGAC